CAAAAAAAAAAAAAAATAGTATACGCTTTGCCTCTTTTCTTTTGATTATATATCTCCGAGATACTACCCACAGTAAAATGTCTTTGAAAATTACAGTCAATCCCCTCAAACCCTGCCACTTGTTTATCTAAGATTCTAAATCCTTTGTGTCATTTCAACATCTTTACTAGTAGACTTCACTTTCTTTGCTGATCCCTAAGAAGCAACTCCTCATCAGTTCAAGTTTTATCATGAAATTGCAGCAATTCAGTCACACCTTCAGGCTTTACTTCTAATTCTTGTTCTCTTGCTATTTTTACCATATCTGTAGTTTTTTCCTTTACTGTTATCTTGAACCTGCGTCATCCATGAGGGTTGGAATCAACTTCTTCCAAACTCCTGTTAATATTTTGACCTCCTCTCATGAATCATGAATGTTCTTAATGGCACCTAGAATGGTGAATCCTTTCCACAAGGTTTCAACTCACTTTGTCCAAATCCATCGGAGCAATCATTATGTCAGCTATAGCCTTATGAAATATATTTATTAAAGAAAACGACTTGAAAGTTGAAATTTTTTTTTTTAAGACAAGAGTCTCACTTTATCACCCTCAGTAGACTGCTATGGTGTCACAGCTCACAGCAACCTCAAACTCTTGGGCTTAAATGATTCTCATTCCTTAGCATCCCAAGTAGCTGGGACTATAGGCGCCCACCACAATGCTCAGCTATTTTTTGATTGTAATTGTCATTGTTGTTTGTCAGGCCCGGGCTGGATTCAAACCTGCTAGCTCTGGTGTATGTGGCTGGAGCCCTAGCTGCTAAGCTACAGGCACAGAGCTAAACTGAGTTAAAAAAAAAATTTTTTTTTTTAAGAGCCAGAGTCTTACTTTGTCACCCTCAGTAGTGCTGTGGTGTTACAGCTCACAGAAATCTCTAGCTCTTGGGCTTAGGTGATTCTCTTGCCTCAGCCTCCCAAGTAGCTGGGACTACAGCAATGCCTATTTTCTTGTTGCAGTTTGGCCGGGGCCAGGTTTGAACCTGCCACCCTCGGTATATGGGGCCAGCGCCCTGCCTACTGCGTCACAGGCGCCCCACAATCTGAGTTAATTTAATTTAATTTAATTTTATTTTTTGAGACAGAGCCTCAAGCTGTCCCCCTGGGTAGAGTGCCATGGCATTATAGCTCACAGCAACCTCCAACTCCTGGGCTCAAGCGAGTCTCCTGCCTCCGCCTCCCAAGTAGCTGGGACCACAGGCGCCCGCCACAATGCCCGGCTATTTTTTGGTTGCAGCCGTCATTGTTGTTTGGCGGGTCCGGGCTGGGGATTCGAACCCTCCACCTTAGGTGTACGTGGCTGGCGCCTTAGCCGGTTGAGCTATAGGCGCCGAGCCCTGAGTTAATTTTATTATGTATTTTTTAATTCTAAAGACTTACTTTTCAAATATACTTTGCCTTTTTATAGTGTCATCTAATGATTTTTATGGTTTATTTCCACCTCTACTCCATTTTTCAAATTTTAAAAAATTTTATTACTTTTGAAAAAATTTTTATTTATTTTGGAGATAAGTCTTTCTCTGTAACCCTGGTGAGAGTACAGTGGCATCATTATAGCTCATTGCTCAAACTCGTGGGCTCAAGTGATGTTCCTGCCTCAGCCTCCCAAGTAGCTGGGACTATAGGCATGTGTCACCTGACACCAAAAACAGTTAATTTTTTCTACTTTTAGTAGGGACCAGGTCTTGTTTTTGTTCAAGCTGGTCTCAAATTCCTAAGCTCAAGCAATCCTCCTGCCTCAGTCTCTGAGTGCAGGATCAGAGGTGTGAGTCACCACTCGTGGCTTCCAATCAATTCAAACACACATACTTCCCATGGTTATACAACTTCAATTTTGGGCACAGTGCTAATCCTCCAAGACTGTGCCTACTGAATTGTGCTCACAGTGGATTATTTTGGAGTTTTCATGAGTTAATCTGAGGGGGCCTTGTTTTTTCTACAAGAAAATGATGCAGCTTGGAATGGGTGTCTTCCTCCTACAACCAGGTTACCAAGTCTATGTGCTGATACTACGTATCAGTTATTTTCAAACTAAGATCCCCAAGGACCTAAGGATTTATATACTTGATATTTTGAACTTCTCAAGATCTAATTAGAACAAAGGAATTTTGTCTAATACATCTTTCAGTATTACAATTCTATGTTCTATGTCTCCATGACAAGTGAGAAAACTTAAGCCACTAGTCCTAGAGTAAGCATTAAGAAAATGTTGGCTTGGCGCCCGCCACATACACAAAAAATAGCCAGCATTGTGGTGGGTGCCTATTACGTAGGAGGCTGAGGCAAGAGAAATCGCTTAAGCCTAGAAGTTTGAGGTTGCTGTGAGCTGTGACGCCTTAGCACTCTACCAAGTGCGACATAGTGAGATTCTGTCTTAAAAAAAATGTTAATTATGATAATCAATTAATGCCAAGTACAACGCTTAGTGGCACATACAGAAACTCATTTAGTTCTCTCAACAACCTCATGAGATAATGCTATAAAACTTAAAAAGGGCATGTAGGCTCAGCGCCTATAGCTCAACCGGCTAAGGCGCCAGCCATGTACACCTAAGGTGGC